TGTTCCAGAAACTCCATTTTACAAATTTTGCTGAGGTTGCAGGGCCTCTTTTTGCAGCCCTTTCTATGCATTGGCGCAGTATTAGAAGTGCATGAGATTCCACGCACACTCAGAGTGTGTTTATGTATGGAAGCAGAGGAAACTGTGGCCTGAATGTGCTTTTGTTCCTACAGGATTTTGGACTCTGTGTTAATTCTTTCTTCAGCTGACCAGGCAGGACAAGATGTAGAAAGCAGTGGCGATGTTTTTATCTTTCTGCTTGCAGTGCTGTGTTACAGAAGAGCAACATTCCCCCTCTGTGTCTAAACACTCTGCAATGGCCCGGTCATACTTTGTGCTGAGTCCCATTATGCCTCTGTGTTGCTCAGGACAATAAATGCCGCGGTGAATCCGAATGCAGCGGCAGGTGCTGCCGGGTACAAACGCAGCCGGCTTTGGAGCCGCTGACGTGGAGATGCTGCTGAGGTGGTTGGCTGCTGTGGGTGACACGTTCACCGTAGGCTCCTGGGAGGTGAGTGCTGCCCTTTGCAGAATGCAGCTCTGGAGCCCTGGCTCTCCTGCAGGGACACAGCGCCCTTTTTGGTGCCCTTGGAAAATCAGTGCCATCGCCTGGCACCATTGTGCAGGACTGGCAGCGCGCAGGGCATTGCTGCAGCCTTGCCTGGTCATTTTGCAGTGTGCTGGTAGGAAGGATAGCACCAAGCACAGGACTTAATGCTTTATCTTCCCCTTTCTAGCTAGATTAAGGAATGAATAAGACATATCCTGGAATGTGTCAGGGAGTTTCTTAACTCTTTGGCCTTTTGCTTCATGGCCTAGTCACGTTTGGTGCCAAGTGCCTCTGGCTGTCTCTTCTCTGGCTTATCTTTGAGACTCAAGTCTGCCAAAGTTCCTGCCAGAAATAGCCTGTATAAAATTTCCTGGAACAGGAAAGATGCCCAGCACCTACAGTTTGGGGCAGAAACCCGTGGGTTTTTTTTTTTTTTTCCCTCCCTCTCTTTTTTGACAGCTATGTTTTACACTTCTTTCCTCTCTCATGATTGATAGGCTTCTTCCATTGTCCAATCATGTTTAGCACCTGTCTGCATTTTAAGGACAGAAACAATTTTTTGCTTTGTTCTGTTTCTTTTCTTGACCAAACTTTCTGCACGCTTCCGTTTTGTATCCTGGCTGCTCCAGCAAGTCTAATATGTTGCTTTTCCTAAGCCCAGTTCCTCCTTCCTGGTGCCCCGGCCTAAGGGCTGAAGCTCTTATCTCTGCTCCCAGCAGAACAACCTGTGACGGGGGGTCCTTGCCCTCCTCCCGGGCTGGGGCCGCCGTTGACACGCGGTGGTGCAAGCTCTCCTAGCGCGGTCTGCGGCTTGATCTGCGATGGTTTCCCAACAGTGGGAAGAGATGATGAAAGCAAAGAAAGACGCACAGATGGAGAGAGATACCGCAGGGCTGCCAGGGCAGCTGTTCGAGATCTCTGAATCAGATGGAGACAAAACTCCGCCACCCTCGGCTTCCCCACCCGACAAACCCTCTCCCATGTGCAAAACAAAACCAGCCCCACCCCTGCCTGCCATTTTAGCTAATGGCTTGGTTAATAAATGGCAAATTCCAGGGGTAATCCTGTCAAAGTCTCCGTGACATCCCCATTGATGATATTAACCACAGAGCGCTCCCCTGCTCTTCTGATTAATACCAAAAGAATTCAGCTTGATTAGATCATTACTGAGGGGACATGTATGAAGCACATAAATATTCCAGTGAAAAATCAGGCTTTAGACAAGCAGAAGGGTTAGCAGTAACCTCAGTTTGGAAAATTTTTCACCTAATAGAGAGAAACATGGTCTGTGGATGTCTCCTGCTCTCTGACAACCCTCCTAGAAAGTCCGTATGGGTGTATAATGAGGCATATGCATGTCCCAACCTTTCTGTCCCCTCTCTTCTCTGCGTGTAACTCATTCATATCACATTGATAGGAGCAGCTATGAACCAAGTGGAGGCATCTTTGAAGAGCTGGAGATTTTGAATATAAAGTCCCTAGGGCAGACACCCGGGTAATTGTTTCCTTGACAAGTCTGGCAAGGTCAGATTAGTGCAGTTGGGGATCTTGGCACACCACGCAAACACGGCGCGGAGGGAGGAGCAGAGCCTCCTTCTTTCTCCCTCTCCCTCCACCCTGACACGTACTCCTTCCCTGGAAAAGCCGGGATAGCCGGGAGGCTGAACAAGAACCCCAGTATTAGCAGGAAGGTGCCGGGTTGCAGCTGCCTTCTCCTTCCTCGGCCCGTCCAGAGCTGTGGTTCTTGGTTACCTTTTGTTGAAATAAGCAGGGGCTATTTATGTCTCATGCTGTCTGCAGATTCAGGCAGACTTTACAAATTTCCTTACTCAAAATGGGCTTTCAAATATTTATCATTTGCAGGCTTGATGCTTTTAGACTTAATACTGTTTTTGTGTGGTGGTGGTTGGTTGGTTGGTTGGTTTTGCCTTTTTACGTCAAGATGAGGGGAAAAGATGGTGCAGAGGAGAGAAAAGGGCAGGTTTTCGGTGTCTGAAATGAGTGACCAACGTGTACAAACACCTAATGGGAAAGAATAAAGAAGAAGGAGCTAAACTCTTAGTGCGGCACACAGAAAGCACAAGAGGCAATGGACACAAACTAGAGTACAGGAAATTCCCTTTGAACTTTTTTTTTCCTTTGTAAGGATGATCGAACATAGGAACAGGTTTTTCAGAGCAGTTGTGGAGTCTCCAATCTGAGGGATATTCAGAACCTGTCTGGGCATGGTCCTGAGCAAGATGCTATAGTTGACCCTGCTTTGAGCAGGGGGCTTGGACTAGGTGATCTCCAGAGCCTCCGCAATCCTGTGCTGCTGAGACCGTACTTGCAAAATACGCCTGAGAGACTAATTGTGATAAGGTGTCCTGGGAGGTGAAATTATCGTAAGCAGTTCTCCCTAGATCCTTGAAACTACCCCAGTTAAAAATAACTCTCTATATTTAATCTGTATTTTTCCAAGGAAGAGCTTTATGGGAACGTGGCTTGCAGACTAATTGGTGATCACAACTGAGGGAAGGGGTGAACTGTAGCAAAGCAGCAAAAGCAGTGGAAGAGGAAATTTTCTAGTCAGCTCTATTATTTACAGCAATGTATCATATAACTACACTGCAGCCCAGGCCCCCAAGCGCGAGCCCATGCCATTCCTTGCTGAGATAGCAAGGCTGGCATTTGCCTCGAGGTATGAGAAGAGGATCTTGGAGGACTAGAAAAAGGAGAGCTCGAAGGGCCTGAGGCTCTGAAACAAAAA